CTACGGTTTATGTAATATGCAGTAAGAAAGGGTGGATTCAAGTCTCCCTATTTGAGTGTTCACCCGGTTTAAAATCGTGGATCTCGAGGAACATACGAATTCATTCGACCAATCAAAAACGTGGAACTAGTTCGAGAGTCTCGTTCAGGTGGCGCGTCGACACGCCAAAACACAGCTCCAGATTATCACGCGTAGTATTACTATATATACACGACCAATCAAAAACGTGGAACTGCTTCGAGGGCCCTCCGCTAAGGTGGCGCGCCGAAACCAGAGAAAAATTGAGACCACCAAAAACAGGCTCATTGGCAATCTCCCTACTCATCTCTGCTTGACATACTCCCACCAGAGATGAGTGGCTCATCTCTGAAGAATATCGGCCTATTAGCAATCTCCCTATTCATCTCTGATACAACTTTTAAATCGATGTATGAAGTAGCTGCCTTGCATATTTTATATTTGCGTGTATACTATGGTTATTAATGATGAGTAAAAAATGGTAATATACGCATTTTGGAACTGTTTATAAATTCAGGTAATGTTTATAAGCATTGGAATACTTGTTTATTAGTCGTATCGACCTACCTGTTACTCCGTTCATTACATGATATTTAAGTGTTGTATATCATCGGTATTATTTTTTTTATTGTTACTATTATTTTATGCATATATGTGATATTTTTATGAAATTGTAAATTTGATTAAACGTTCCAGCAGTTAAAAAATGTCTACGGTATACCCCACATTACCGCGTTCGGCTATACGCGATAGCTTTGATGATGATGACTTGAGCGACGTTGATGATGAAGTATTTATTCGAGATGGAAAAAATGGAATATTGAAATTGGACGATGATGGAGGAGTGAAGAGGCCTCTTATGGCACCGCGTAGAAAATATCGTACATCACGTATTTCAGATAAACAAGGATTTCCATACAGAGCTCTCGTAGCACCCTTCTTGTATGGTCTTTTGGCATTATTTGTTCTACTTGGATTGATTATACTTGTTATATTTGCTGTGAGCATATTTCCCATGCCATTAACCATACTTAAAAATTGGCTATCACGGGAAGCTGATACCGATATCAAGAATCTAGATATAGTTCCATGTACATCTCTTACCACCTCTGTGGTATGGACAAGAACACTACCAAAATTAACATCCGAAGCACCATTAAGAAGCAATGATGTGAATGGAGATAAAATTAAGGATATTATCATCGGTTTTAGCACAGGTCTAATACTTACAAAAGAATTATTATCATGATTTGGCATAACATTATTTGCATCTTTCTGTTTATCTTATACTTTTACAGATTCTGTGTTAATTTCAGTTTTTGTTGATTTTTCACTTTGTCCATCTTAAGGTGAATAATAATTTTGTGACTGGTGCATCATTCTATTGCTTTTAATACATTATATATTAATCAAATATTTTTATCATTAGGGTTAGATGCAATAGAAGCACCAGAATACTTTTGTACATTGTACTTTGGAAGTCAAACGCCTTGTTTGGGCGGTGTATTGGCTTTAGATGGTAAAACTGGTGAAACCATTTGGACTCATTGGACAGCACACGCGATTTTTTCAATCGATTGTGGTATGGACTTAACGAGTGATAGGATCAAGGATTGCATTGCTTCCGGACGCGGTGGAATATTGCATGCAATTAATGGCCACGACGGATCAAGTATTTGGGAGTTACCTTTGCAAGATTTGGCCACTCCTGGTCAACAAAGAATCTTAGATGTTTACGACGCTAGATACATGCCTGACATCGACGAGGATGGGGTTGGTGATGTCATAGCATCGCACACTCTACAATCGGGTGGGACTCGCAACAGCGAGATACTCATATTATCAGGAAAGACTGGTAGCATTATTCATAGTGTTGCACTTCCTGAAACAGAGCAATTATTCTTAGCTCCGCAAACTTTTATACATCCTGATGGCGAGAATATCTTCGTAATAGCTACCAGTAGTCAAAGACAATCAGGAGGACTTTACATAGTACCACAATCAAATTTAATTTATGGAGACTTGGTAAGTTTATTTCCTTTATTATGGTATAATTTTTATTAAAATTTTCGAAAAAACGTTTAATCTCTATTCCTTATGCTCTTTTTCTCTAGAAACTACGTAAACTTCATCACAAAGCAGGAAAGAAGGTCCTTTTATCTCCTGTTCTTGCTGACATTACTTCAGACGGTACCGAAGATATCATCGCGGCTATGCTTAACTCTACCATAATAGCATATAATGGTATAACGTTCGAACAAATTTGGAATTACACTGTGCCGAATTCTGAAGTAATCAGCGTTCCCATTCCTGGGTATTACAATGACGATGATGTTCCTGATTTTATGGTGAAACATCAGATAGGTCCGGGATTTCCTAATTATTACTACACGGTAGCAACAGTTATAGATGGGAAGACTGGCAAAGTCTTACTTGAAAAGTCTGTTGAAGATAGTATGAGCGGACAAATGTCAGGTCTATCAGTGACAGTCGATGGTTTTGGTAATGATTGGTTCCTCCATTGGTCAGCTGATTGTCTGAACCATGAAGCTTCAAAGATAGAATATCAGTTTCTGAAGACTGAGAGTCTAATTTCTCAAACGCGTGCGGATCTCTGTAAATTGCTATTCAATTCGACGCTCACCACTAAGTTATTGGCTTTGAGTCAACATGTCGAGCCACCCGGTATACCATTATATATCTCTGACGATTGGAAGAAATTAGAATTCAACAACTCCATTGATCCCAGAAGGGAAGCGGAAAAATATCTTGAAACGCATCCGGATTTCGAAGCTATCAATAATAATATGGATGACGTACCTGCAGTTTCTGAGAGATCGCCTCGTGTTCGCAAACCTCATCACAAGACGAGTAGTTTCCGTCATAAGGAGAACAATGACCTCTTTGCCGAACAGAACAATTATTATCCCAATCGCAGAGTGTCCAAGGGAAAAAGTATAAATTATGAGAATTCGGAAAATTTCAAAGAAATCGATGAATCGCTCGATAACGATCAAGATTTGAAAGTAGTGCCTCACGAGTTCGGGAATGGTGAGGAATGGAGAGAAACTAATAAGTGGGAGGACGAGATTGGACAATCTGAAAAAGATCTAGACGTGTTGTACGAGGAGGGCGACCCTCGTGGTATGGATACGTCTCAAATGAATGAGATACGTGAACAGCGTAGCGATGCGAATGATATGAGAACAATTAACAATGATACGAACGAATTTCAGAATCAATTAGACCCAGGCATGGATTATACAAATGGTCAAACTAAATATAATAATTATTATCCTCTAGAAACTACTAATAGATCGACGAATAGCAAGAATACGGAGACCTATTTAAACATCTCAGATTATGACTTTGTGGATGACGAGGATAGCAATGAAGATAACGATTTACCGAACGGAAAGGAGAAACGCCAAGCATACGATGAAAATGACAAATTAGGGACTGTGGGTCAAAAAGAAATAATAATTGGTAAAGTAGATGACTACGGAAGTAGCGATACTTTTTTACCTATAGTAAAGAAAAAGAAGAAGGCAACGTTAACTGACTTTGAAAGAAAACTGAACCCTATTGATAGCCATGACATTAAAATGGAAGACAATGTAATTGATAAAGATAAACATATAACCTTACGGAATATTGAATTACACGAGAGTATAGAGATACTTCCCATCTCTGAAGCGTTACTTGAAAATATGTCAAGCAATGCCGACGTGAGTAAACGCGATGAGTCGAGTGTTAACTTCATACGCGGTGTTAATAAGGCAGTAAAAAATATGAATAAGTCGACAAGATTCGAAGGTGATTTCCTTAGTAAAATTATAATTGCTAAAAGGAAGTCGACACCAAGTACCAAGAACATCAATATAGGAAGGATCTTTAAGCGTGAATCTTTAAAAAATTTGAAAAAATTAATAAATAATCAGAAGCTAGCAAAAGATGAAAATATAATAAAGATAAGTAACCGTAAAAGGAAACGGGGTGCTCAAGTAAACGATGATAAATCGAATACAATAGAAGGAATACAAAGACAACCACCGACTGGAATATTGTTGCCATCATTAACAACTGCACCCGACAAGACCTCCGTTGATATTGTATTCTCCACGTTTTGGCTACCACCATCAGAAGCGTCCATCATACTACTTCCGCAGGATTTAGAATGCATCAGCAGAAAAAAAGCCGAACTGGATAGCAAAGTCCAAGACCTTGATAATGAGCAGACAGTTAGTGATTGTTTAACAGAACGGGGATTTAATTACAAACTGTATCAGGAATCAGTAGATCGAGAGAATGTGAGGATAGCACTGGGACAAATGACCGTGTACAGAATGAAACTTGAATGTGTTTGTCCAGAAGACATGTTGCCTGGACAAACATGTAAAAATATTTCACGTGAACAAAGTTGGCCTGCCCATCTAGGTTCATCTGCCAATGGATACTTCAAGCCATTACGAAGACCAAGTACCTGAAACAATTGAACCTATTGTAAAAGATACTACTACTGTTATCATGAATGACAATTAGTGCTTCAAAGATTATCAGCGCATTTTCATTGTCAGTTCGCAATACGAAATGTGGATCAATATTCTTGAAAGTTATTGGCTTCTATATTAGTATCGATTATCTGCAAGTCGAAGTTACCTAGAGAAGGTTTCATTTGTGAATCGATGAGGAGAATGGATGTGATCGTTAGCAAATTGAAAAGTGTCCCAAATTATATATTCTATAATGATACATTCATTTTGATAGATTTAATTATAACACTGATGCAGTAGATTTAATAGCTACAAATGTATAAGATTCAACCTTATTGTGGAGATTATGCTGCTTTAGTCTCGATGGTCGTACACTATTTAATTCTTTATAATTTCATGGATCCATGGTACGCGTAATTATAGACATCACTGATTATCACGATTGGAAACTATCTTTTTATAAACACCTTGTCCTTAAGAGTTTAATACAACATGTAATTTTAATACATCGAGAATAAACAGCATTGACCATTTTCATTTGGGATTATTTTAAATTTGCTGGCACCTGTCAATTTAATGTAGCATGATTCCATTGTAATATTAGTTTATATTTAAACATTGTAAAACAATTTGATTGTTGGTGGTACTACAGAATCAATAAACAGTTATTAAGGGTACTTGAAATTATTTATTTTTTTAATGTTATATAATTGATATTGTAAACAAAAATTGATGAAAAAGAAGTTCAAACGAGTTTTTATCATTCAGAAACGTGTACGACGTAAGAAAAACTCGCTTGCTAGTTTTAATATGTAGATTAGATAACATTTCAAACTAATCTTCAAACGTTTGTTTAATCAATAGCCGCGAAGGACTTCTTGACGCCGTGATTTTGCTTAGACGCAATACATTGTTTAGTGTTAACGAGCCGTGTAGTAGAGTGACGTTCTTATATTTTTTAACATTTATGGTTCGTATAATTTGAAGATACGACGTTAATGAATTAAATTTAAAAGATGAGCGCGGATTGGTGTAGAAATAGTCGGACCCAGTCACACGACGTTCCACACGGTATTCGTATTATTTTAAAAGCCGTAGCTTATCGTATTTAAATACTGATGAAATATGTTACAACGTAACACAACATAACATAACCAATGAGTTTCGATAGCTACAATCCAATTTGATGTATTCATAGAATCTGAAGGCATCTCAAGTAAAATCAAGAACAATGCCAGAACGGAAATGTCCTCTTCAGAGAATTCCTGTTCATTCGTGAGAATTGTTCATATACCCTGATATTTCATACATCGTGTAATATTTAACATGCAATCAAAGGAGCCCCATAAGTAATTTACTAATTAAATCGAACAGAAAACCTGCACAAAGTTCCGCTCTGTGTTTAGAGATTTACCACTGTACCGTAAACGCATCATAGAAGTAGATACGGTGAGGTATGGAGACATAACGGATGGCAATCACAGTTCACGACTTCGGCAAGTGAATTGTTAAAGAGCAAAAGAGAACTAAAGGGTCATTAATAATTGTTTGAATATATTGGGAAATTCGCTCTATAAGTGATATAATCCTGCCACAGAGGAACATCGGAGATGCACGAACCCTTAGAAGTTATTGGTCGCCAGAGGCACAAATTCTTTAGAAGAGCTCTCGTGCCGAATCAGACACCGCCAATATCCACAATGAGAATTCCTACACCCTATCCACGTGACACCTATAATGATCTACAAAGTTCTGAAGAATGGCCTTGCGATCTTCCTACGAGACTCCAAGAAACGCGTAATATCGGGACGCAGTCCGATTATAGAGAAAATGAAACACAAACTTCACCATGGGAGGCCCCATACAGAATACATCCAGGTCAATATATGTATAATTTTGATTGGTATTTACATGTGTCAATCGGATACAGGAATTTATATATGTTCTTCATGAAACTAGGTCACAACCCCGAAGTTCTAACGTTGGCGCATTTAACATGGAATAGCGGATTACCTGCCGGAATTCACGAGGTGGAAATCATTAAAAGAATGAGAATCAAAAGAGCTTGGGAAGCTATTCTTCCTCCGATGGATTCACCCGAAAATGTTAAAGCTCGAATAGCCATAATATCTGCTTTGGAAGTGGATGACTGGGCCTTTCGCGAAAAGGTACAAATAAATAGGAAAAATGTACACAAATTCTTTGTTCGCAACATCATAATTCTTGACTCGTAAATTCACAGGAAATTCAATCTATAATGGATATGCGTATGAAGTTGATGGAGGAATATGAGAAAGTTCGAAGTAAGGAGAAGGAGCAGAAGATACAAAATCGATTCGAAAGACTCAAGAAACACTTGGAGAAACGTAAGAATAAGGAAATCATGAATATTAGACGTAAGCTCGGCAGAGAACTTCGCAAACTTGCTGCCAATTACAATGCTAGGATTAACGGGCGATATCAGAAGTACGATATCATAAGACAGCATGCCGATCCGAAATCGGAATTGTACGCACCGCAAATGAAATTTGGTGAAAATCCAGGAAGACGTCACGAAACTTTACAAAAACGATACTTGAAGGAGCGATATATAGATGGTAAACGTGCTTGTCTTTATGAATGTTAAATATTTATTTTCAATTAATTTAACGATGTAAATTGTAAATAGCTGCTGAGAAACAAGACACTACACCCAGCTGTCTTCCTACTATTGAGGAATTGAAGATGGTGAAACCAAAGCCAAAACCCGCAGAATTGTGCATTCGCGAGACGAGATGGAATGAGGAAAATTTGAAGCAACTGCACGATGATCTCAAAGCTATTAGAATGAATATCAAACCTTTTGATAAAATGAGTTTGATGAAGAAGAAGTGGAAGCCCTCGCCAATGCCACTGTCGCCATGTAAAATGCGACCACTAAATTTCGATGACGTCTTGGAGCAGTCATCTTTGTTAATTCAACAAAGTGTCAGGGGTCGTGCCATTCAGTGCATGGTAAACTAATTGGGAGCGCATCCGAAGATACACGATTAACGAGTAATGGAAGAATAAATTAATTATTTGCAGATGTTTGAAGGAAGAGATCGGTGCAGGGAGTTAATTGAAGAATTGCAATCCACGCATGCACTTCAGGAACATACGAAGAAACTCCGGCATCAGGAAATGAATGATGTAATAAAATTGCAGAGAGAACAGAGTCAGAAGATTTTGCAGGAAAATCGTCTTTGTGAAATTCTGAATTCGTTAGAGGGTACAACAGTCTCTTGGATGCTAGACTACCTCAGCAAGGTGCAGCGTGCAATTCATATGTATAAATGTATATATTATCTTCAAAAACGAGCTACATAACCGAGCGACATATTTTCAAGCAGGAATTGATACGATTACAAGATGAACGTAGAGTACATGCTTTCGCATTGCTCGCAGAGAGAGAACGAAATCGCAAAGAGGCTGCTGAAGCTGGTAGACGACAATTGGAAGAGAATCGTCGTAGAGAATTAGATGAAATGTTTAAGCAAATAATCAAAGTCAATCAGGATTCGGTGGATTCTTATTTAGAAGATGTCATAAAAGATGGTATTGAATGGGTATCGGATAAAGAGGCTGAACAGTACATTTCTGATCTAGCAGAAAAGGCCGACCCGGCGTCAGCCTGTGCCACGGAGAAGTAGAATACACAATACATATATTTGTCTTGATTAATATAATATTTGAGTCAGTTAATAATAAATAATACAATTCGTCCCTTCATTAGTGCCGTGGAATTGGCGGAGGAGGAAATGGTGTCTGACATGGTTTACAATTTCGTATTACCAGAAGTCGAGAAACAAATGGTTAGGAAGAAAATGAGGGACCGACAGCAAAGTTACCTGCGTAACGCCCACGCTGCAATTTATGATGCAATAATGGAATTACCGCCGAATGAACTTCCTTCCACTTCAGCGGAGTATAATAGAGATATCTACGAGCAAGATAATCGTGAGACAGCATCACTCTCCGAGAAGGAAGAGGAAAATCTTGAGTATGAGGAAAAGTTTTACGTGAGTGTCAAACCTTATGGTTTATAAAGATTTTTTAAAAATTTATATGGCAAAGTATTCGTCTCTTTTAATTAGGATCAAGAGGACGTTCCTAATGAAACGTGGATAAGAGAGTATATCGTAAATCAAACCGTTAATCGAATTTGTAAATCTAGTGGTAAGTATGCGTTTAATTAATCCTCCAGTGGTGGCGCCATAAGAAATGTAATTGAGTATTAATTCCAAACCTATTGAGTCCGTTGGACATAATATGTAATAGGCCATCACTGGAAGATCAAGGTTTACTCTTAGTTACTCTCACTCTAGTTTTTCCCTTCAGATAATAATGAAGTAGTACATGACCTATTACATAATATAACAACGAAGACAGCAAAGTCCCACGGAACATCTCTTTCCAGTACATTTTTGCTTTAATTTCACGGTCAGTTTTGAAAATTTGAATTGTTGTATGACGTACCTTCATTTTTTCTTTAGCCGCTTCGTCACGCTCATCAACATCTTCTTCCTGTTCGAGTTGCACGGGTGAGCATTATACAGCAACGTAATGGAGTGACAATGCCTAATATGACGACCTAAAGCGCATGTGTAGTGTTACATAGAAATATCTTTCTCATATTCATATTATTAATTATTCTAGGATCATTATTGGATACTGAATTATAGATCAAAGTAACAGGCGAATTTACGCAATGTGTATTTCATTTGGCATTTAATACAATACTCGTTGCGAGTTACGAACGGGGACATTGTAAAGATGCATTAAATAATTGCTATTTTTAACTGTTTTTCATGAGAATTAAGCTTGGCTTTTTTTTAGTTTCTTGGAGCAGTCTATATATTTACACTTCTTATTATATATATTAAAATACTATCGGTACGGAAGTTATATGATATAGCTAATGAAAAACCAAGACGGAATCCGTTAACTTTGTATTATTTTATTTATTGTCAACAACTCTATGAGCACCTACTTTTTTTATCGTTTGATGCTATAGGCGTGTAAAATTTTTGGCAAAGCTTCACAGAGTTATTACAAAATTTTTTTAAATTTTACATCACATGCGGCCATAAAAATTCAAAATACATACTTGCATTCCATGAATTCCCATTAGCAAACGGTAACTCTTTAGATGAATAAATTTTACTCGCTTGTACCAAGGACCCCAATGCCTTTCTAGCGATTACAATATAAATACAAATTATCGATTAGTCTATAAATTTGAATCAGACTCGTCACTACGTTTTCCAATTCCCTGTAGGCTGGTAGTGAGCATCATATCACAAGAACATACCTCTACGTTAATATAAGTGACAAACTGCCATTATAAGCTTCTTTTTAATTCTGTGACGATTTAATTGTCCAGTTAACAAGAAATCGATTATTCAAATTTCCTATCCCCCAATGATTTCGGGCGTAAATACTTTCCGTAGTTTCGAACACCGCGTACATCTTTTATCTTCCTATACACGGCATATGCGTAATTTACTATATGAAAGTAAAATGTATAGTCATCCAGTTCAAAAATAGCAGCCGTATTTGATAAGCGCCATTCCTTCAAAAAGGGCCTCTTTTGTGGAGCATCACTTGACAATATCTTCTTTAATCGATCCAATATTGCCAATTGGTGGTTTACTAAAGTGATGACAGTTATTAAATGGTATTGGTGGTTGAGTTACATATCCCAGGAATTACGATATAATACGGAGAGGACACGCGGGCCTCTAAATTAATCCTTCCGTATAGAGTTTATGAGAGGAAAGCATTTAGTATCATAACATTACTAATGAATGGACAATTCTTCAACAATATTTTTGAAACTTGTAAACACAGTAACGTCCAATTGAAGTGCAACACTTGCATTTTTTTACATATCTATGAAAGTATGACAGATTTCGAAAAACCAAAGACATATTTTTTCGCCTAAATCTTGCGAGTTCCGCTCGAGGCGCTCGGGGGACTAGTACCCTACCACGCGCGTAGGGTAGTAGTAGCCGAAGGATGCTCTCTCTCGTGCCCTTTTCCGTTCGAATGGTAAAGGTTTTGTCCCTATCGGATACAAAATGGCCGAATGGCAGGGGTTGGAGTAAAAAAGTGCATTTTGGAACTTTTTGAAAAATTTGAGAACTAGTAGTTCCGAAAGGAAATTTATATTTCTAATTAGGGCACGAGAGAGAGCATCCTTCGGCTACTACTACCCTACCACGCGCGCCAAGCATTCGTCCCCCGAGCGCCTCGAGCGGAACTCGCAAAATTTAGGCGTTTTTTCAAACGGATAATTAAACCCCTTAGCGTACTCGTGTTTGGATGCTTAAAAGCGCGTTTTAATCGTTGAAATCTCAGCTACAACGTGGATCAAAATGAAACTTCTATTTCATCGCTTTCCTAATAAAAAATGGCGGGGAAGCTTCGGGTGCGCTTGCGAAATCTCGAAATCTCCGTCACGGGATCATCTCCGAGAACAATAATTTTGTGAGAATCTGCAGTATCATTAAAGATGATATCATGCAGAAACTGGACCAGATTGGCCGGCGCGTTCGGAAGTTATGGCCATTTAAGTGTTTTCACTTCAAGGGGGTGTAACTCCCCCTAGAGTGATCCTATAGTGATTCAATGGGGGTTTTTTTTTAATGCCGAAGGATGCTCTCTCTCGGGCCCTAATTAGAAATATAAATTTCCTTCCGGAACTACTAGATCTCGAAATCTTCAAAAAGTTCAAAAATGCACTTTTTCACTCCAACCCCTGCCATTCGGCCATTTTGTATCCGATCGGGA